AAAACACCCCAAAAACACCCTAAAAACCATCCCAAAAACCACCCCAAGGCACCCCAGAACTACCCCAAATTCACCCCAAATTTACCCTGAATTCACCCCAAATTCACCCAAAGTCACCCCAAAAAACACCCAAATTCCCCCCAAAATTCACCCTGAATTCACCCCAAAGGCACCCCAAAAACGACCCAAAGTCACCCCAAAATTCATCCCAAAACCATCCCAAAAACCACCCAAAGTCACCACAAAATTCACCCTGAATTCACCCCAAAATCATCCCAAATTCACCCCAAAATTCACCCTGAATTCACCCCAAAATCAGCCCCAAAATCACCCCCAAATCACCAAAATTGACCCCAAAATTCACCCTAAACTCAGCCCAAATTCACCCCAAAACCAGCCCAAAATTCACCCTAAAATTGCCTGAAATTCACCCCAAATCCACCCCAAAATCACCCCAAATTTCACTCCCAGTTTCACCCCAAAATCAGCCTAAAATTCACTCTAAAATTACCCCAAATTCATCCCAAAATTCACCCCAGAATCAGCCCAAATTCATCCTGACTTCACCCCAAAATCACCCCAAATTTCACCCCAAATTCATCGCAAAATTCACCCAAAAATCAGCCTCAAATTCACCCCAAATCCACCCCAAAATCACCCCAAATTCATCCCCAAAATCAGCCCCAATTCCCTGTGAATTCACCCCAAAATTCACCCTGAATTCACCCCCAACTCACCCAAAAATCACCCCAAATCCACCCCAAAATCAGCCCCAAAATCGCCGTAATTCCACCCAAAAATAACTCCGAATACCCCAAACCCACCCCTAATTCACCCCAAAAATCAGCCCCAAATCCACGCCCAATTCACCCCAAAATCAGACCCAAAATCCCCAGAATTCACCCCAGAATCCACCCCAAATTCATCCCAAAATCAGCCCTAAAACAACCCAAAATCCCTGGAATTCACCCCAAAATCTGCCTAAAATCGCCTCAAAATCCACCCTGAGTTGACCCCAAAAATATCCCAAAATCAGCCCCAAATTCATGCCAAAATAACCCAAAATTCACCCCAAAATCAGACCCAAAATCCCTGGAATTCACCCCAAAAGAACCAAGAATACCCCAAAATTCACCCCAAAATAACCAAAATTCCCCCCGCAATGTCCCAAAAATCTGCCCAAAAGTATCCCAAAAACCTCCTAAAATATCCCAAAAATCCCCCTAAAAATATCCCAAAAACACCCCAAAAGTCCTTAAAAAATATTCCAAAAATTCTTTAAAAATATCCTACAAATAATTCCCAAAATATCCCCAAAATCCCCTTAAAATATCCCCAAAATCCTGGGAAAAATCTCCAAAAAATCTCCAAACAATATCCCAAAAATCCCCTTAAAATATCCCCAAAATCTTCTAAAAATATCCCAAAAATCTCAGAAATTCTGTAAAAATATCCCAAAAATCCCCTAAAAATATCCCAAAAAAATTCCCAAAATCCGCTAAAAAATCCTCAAAATCCCCTAAAAATTTCCCCAAAAAAATCCCCAAAATCCCCTTTAAAAAATCCCAAAAAATCCCAAAGAAAAGCAAAAAAAGTCCCAGCCCCAAGCCCCGCCCCCGTTAGCCCCGCCCACTCGATGATGTAATCGGTGCTGGCCCCGCCCCAGGTGTTAGACCCCGCCCCCTCGATTACGTCACTGATCTACAAGAACATGGACAGGTGGAAACGCGTCCGGCAGCGGTGAGAGACTGGGGGGGACTGGGGGGACTGGGAATAGACTGGGGGGGACTGGGGGGACTGGGATTGAACTGGGGGGGACTGGGATTGAACTGGGATTGAACTGGTTTGTACTGGGATGAACTGGGATGGACGGGTTTAGACTGGGCTAGGTTGGGGTATATTGGTTTATACTGGGATGGACTGTGCTATACCGGTTTATACTGGGGTAACCCAAAATCCCTGGAATTCACCCCAAAATCTGCCTAAAATCGCCTCAAAATCCACCCTGAGTTGACCCCAAAAATATCCCAAAATCAGCCCCAAATTCATGCCAAAATAACCCAAAATTCACCCCAAAATCAGACCCAAAATCCCTGGAATTCACCCCAAAAAGAACCAAGAATACCCCAAAATTCACCCCAAAATAACCAAAATTCCCCCCGCAATGTCCCAAAAATCTGCCCAAAAGTATCCCAAAAACCTCCTAAAATATCCCAAAAATCCCCCTAAAAATATCCCAAAAACACCCCAAAAGTCCTTAAAAAATATTCCAAAAATTCTTTAAAAATATCCTACAAATAATTCCCAAAATATCCCCAAAATCCCCTTAAAATATCCCCAAAATCCTGGGAAAAATCTCCAAAAAATCTCCAAACAATATCCCAAAAATCCCCTTAAAATATCCCCAAAATCTTCTAAAAATATCCCAAAAATCTCAGAAATTCTGTAAAAATATCCCAAAAATCCCCTAAAAATATCCCAAAAAAATTCCCAAAATCCGCTAAAAAATCCTCAAAATCCCCTAAAAATTTCCCCAAAAAAATCCCCAAAATCCCCTAAAAAAAATCGCCCAAAAAATCCCAAAGAAAAGCAAAAAAAGTCCCAGCCCCAAGCCCCGCCCCCGTTAGCCCCGCCCACTCGATGATGTAATCGGTGCTGGCCCCGCCCCAGGTGTTAGACCCCGCCCCCTCGATTACGTCACTGATCTACAAGAACATGGACAGGTGGAAACGCGTCCGGCAGCGGTGAGCGGTCCGTACTGGTCCGTACTGGTCCGTACTGGTTCTCACTGGTCCCGCAGCTGGCGGGAGGCGGCGCAGCGGCAGCAGCAGCGTTACGGGCCCAGCCTGCGCCTGCTGCGAATCATCTACGAGCGACAGTGAGGCCACGCCCACCGGCCACGCCCACCCTAGCAATGGCCACGCCCACCCTGAGCTCAACCACGCCCGCATTGACCACACCCACCCTGAGCTCAACTGTGCCCACACTGGCCACGCCCACTCTGGCCACACCCACGGAAGCCACGCCCTCCCAGACCCCGCCCCCTCCGCAATAAAAAACTCCTTCATTTCCATATTTGGGTGTGGGAGTGGTCAATGCCTTTATTTGGGAAAAGGGGCGGGGCTGCTGTGGGCTGGGGGTGACGTCATCGCTCCTGTGGGGGAAGAGAAGGGGAGGGGTTAAACGATGTGAAGCCACGCCCCTCTTTGAGATGGCCACACCCACTTCAGGGCTTTGGACCCTGGTTTGCCATTGGCTGGGCTTGGCCACGCCCCCATTTTACCATTGGTTGCTCTCTGCCCCACCCCAACCAGGGAAACCCCACCCACAACCTCCCCCATTGGTTGCTGTGGGCCCTGCCCTCATCTCGGGGCTTTCCCATTGGCTGCTTGACGCCACGCCCTCAATTTCAGGCATTCTCATTGGCTGCTTTAAGCTCCACCTCCTCTCCCTGGTTTCCCATTGGTTCTGTCAAGCCCCACCCCCACATCCACTCATGGCCCCGCCCCTTCTTTTCCCATTGGCCACTCCAAGCCCTGCCCCCCAACTCCAGCCTCTCCCATTGGCTGTTGTAAGCCCTGCCCCTATTTCAGGCCCTTCTATTGGCTAAATGAAGCCCCGCCCCCAATAAGGAGCCAGCCCCGCCCCTGCCCTCCCCCATTGGCCCGTCCCGGCCCCGCCCTCACCTTGCTGCGCCGCCATTGGCCGCCGCCGGGGCTCAGGGCTCTCCCATTGGCTGGGTGAAGCTGAGGGCGTCGCCCAGCGCTCCCCATTGGCCGCGGCGGCTCTGGAAGAGCCCCACCCACACGCCCAGGCCCAGCCCCCAGAGCCCCGCCCCCAGCGCCGAGCGCAGCACGTCTGGGGGGGGATGGGAGCCGAAATC